CCACCTGATTTACTGACAAAGTGGCCTAAAGCAAGCAGCTTCACATTTTGTGCCTCAGTTTCCTCTCAGTTAGTAGAGGTGTTAGTTCCTTACTCTCTAGAGGATTATGTCACTACAAAAGGCTCTGGGTGTGATGACCTGATAGGGTGTACTACATAAAAGTGCCCTGTATACTCATGTGTTATACATATGATTTGGCAAATGGGATACTCACTGACTCTGCTTTTATAATTTTGCATTTGTCCTATTCCTAAAGAGGAAACATCCATTTGGCTTAAACTAGGGACAATATTGCTGATTGGCCTTAAAGGTTTTTTTTGCCACCTTGCTACTGATGTACTGCCCTGTCCCTATTATCCTGTCATACCACACTGCCCATCCCCATTCTTTAGGTTTAGGATCCTGTTTCATCAACTAAAAGTGGAATATAACATTAGGAGAATCACCTTTAATCATGAGTCACCATCTAACTACAATGTCGTTCACCCTCCTCCCACCCAGATTTCCCCCCCTTCTTTTTGAAGGGCATATATACCCAGTATGCTTCTAAAGGTACAAAATAAAGTGCAAGCAGTTTCCCTTACAGTGCTGAAAACTTTTGTCAGTTTCTAAGAAGTGTGAATTCATGATAGAGTGTTGAGTGAATAGAGCTTCAAATAAATGGATTTACAATAAAGCATAATTTGAACACCATGGTCATTTTTAGAATTTATCCACCTTCCCGTATACCAAAAGCAACATGAAACATTGATGCAAACTCTCATGGGAATTAATCAAACTCCATGAACAAATCACAATATGCAACAAGTAAATCACAGTGTGAAGGTTTATCTTTTGACCCTGGCAAGTTTCAAAGTTGATATGAAGATCCAAATTTCTTGAACAAGCTAACACAACAGAAAAGAAAAAGAAAACGGTCAGCCCATTTTCTTATGATTTTCAAAGCTACAGCTCTGTTTTGAGAAAGACACCAATGCCACATCCGGGCATAGTGAGAGTAAGTGTCACACGAGAAGATTGGTGGTAGACTCAGCCCTACATAGTTGTCATCCCTGCTTGGTCTTGGATCACAAATGTGTCCCTTTGAACCATCATATATAATGTACATGTTGTTGAGAGGGGATTTTGCAGACAGTTTTCATTACCATTACATTAATCTCCCAAAGTTTTTAGGGAAAATAAAAACCCACAAGAGTAATTTCTTTTCCTTTCTACAACATGAATTTGTAAACCTAGCACCATAAGATGTTAATATAGGAGGGGACCCTGCTGGAGATCTTAATCAAACCTCCACTGCTCAGGGATCCTAACCTTAATAGTCAGTCCTTCCTCAGAATCCCCAAGTATTTCCCTTACTGAACAACTCTCTAACAATCTGCTGTAATCCAAACCTGTGGCCCTTCAGAAGCCTACCTACCTCTCTTCCATGGGCTATCAATGAACATCCTGTGGATGATGCATCTCCACCATGAATGAAATTTGATTTAAAAGGTGGTATATCTCTTCTATGCCATCCTCCCCCCAAAATATAAATAAATAAATAATTGTTCTAGGATGTGTTTTCTCAGTAGGTCATGTGACAGGCAGTAGCTAAGACATTCCTGCAACCTTTTGACAAAATGCTCATCATGTTTGACAAAATGCCTATAAATGAACCTGTTATTGTGACTGGTGTCAACCTAAGACAGCTGATACTGAAAAGCCCTATGAAGGAAGATTGTGTTGTTAATGTTCTTGTTTGGACATTTTAGTATTGTTCTAAATATGTGACTCTATATTAGCAAAAATAAATAAATAAATAAAAGCCTTCAAGTAGTAAAAGGAACACAATTTATTATCAAGGAGTGCAGAGAGATTTTTGACTGCGTAGTTCAAACGTCATCTTCTCTGAAGCCTTGTGGATGAAATACATTTCCAAACTGGGCGTGCATGTCTTAGGAACTGTCAAGTTGTCCAGCAGGTGGCACAGTGTTAACACTCAGTGTCCTTTGTGTTCAAAGAAATATATTATTAAACTGGGCTGAAAGCCTAGGTTAAAACCTAGGGTGTTTAATATATACCCAGGGTATTTAGTTTATTTTTGAAAACATATTTTACTATCAAATACTTTTGAATTCAGGTATCTACTTTGGGGTTTATATGTTAATCTGAGATCCACTTATGCCTTCTTGCTTTAAAGATTTATACTGTGTTTATATTAATTGTTCTTTCTCAGATATAAGAAAAAGCAAATAAAGCTTGCAAATGGGTCTTTAAATGTTATAGACTTTTTAGTATCATTCTTGTAAATTTACTGCTATAGATTGGGGGTCACTAGTGCCACTGGTATCTCCTCTGCATCTGAGTTGTACTCGTAGCTAGGCAGACAACAGGAGGCTCAGATCCACCAGCCATTCAGACAATTCAGATTAAAGCTGCAGGGCATTGTAACTATTTGAATATGTCATGTAGGTACTTTCTCATCCTCCCCACGTGTGTGTGTGTGTGTGTGTGTGTGTGTGTGTGTGTGTGTGTGTGTGTGTGTTTAATCCAAATGGAAACCTTGTTTAATTCTAAAGGCATCCCATCAGCTTTGGTTATACATTGGCAGCTTTGTCTGCTAATTTACTTGTAAAAGGAAAACAGCATCATATAGTAGTAGACTGTCAACAATGATTAAGTGTCCTATACTGAGAAAAATTGGGAGGATAACCTTACATTTTGACATTTGTGATATTTCCTGAAAGCAGGACAAAGGATGAACTCTTATCACTGTTCTTGAGTAAATCACTACATTTAACTGTGTTGCTGATCAGACATCTTCAAAAGATAAGACATTGAGTGCCTAGGACTATCACTTAGTTTAAAGCACTCTGCTGTAGCAGCATATGGCCATGATGCAGAATTTAGCTTCCTTTGAATATTCTTGCTCAAACACAGCTTACTGATTATGTATCCCAGTTAGTTACAAATGCAGGGCTGTGTGTCTTTGCTTTCCATGATCTCCACTTTGCACAGACTTCATTAAGTCCTTGAGCTACACTTCGTTTCTAGAGCCAGAGGAACTGGGTTGATCAGACTCTTAGTTCTCATTTTGGTTCTTACCCTGACAATAATCCTTCCCTAAAATTGTTCTCCTGGAGGACTTTCTATGAAAAATAATCAGCTCATTCTTAGCCTCAAGTGTAGTCTTAGGTCATCTAGGGTCATCTTCTGAAACTGGATAGTTTACAAACTAAGAATTCTCAAAAGGCCAACTAGAAGATTCAATAGAGAAGGACTTAGTCTCTCTTTTCTACCCAATATCCTCTTTCCTCTCTCATTCTATTTCCCTATTAGAAAAGTGGTCAAAATTAACAATCATGAGAATCATCTGAAATCTGCTCACAACTATTCAAAAAGGAGGGTCTGGGAAAATGACCCCGTGGATAAGGAACAGCATAAGGTTGAGGGTCTGACATCAGATCCCCAGCAGCCACATAGAAGCCTGGATCAGTGAGATACTGTAACCCCAGTATGTTGGGGAAGGAAATTGGAGGGTCCCTGGGGGCTCTCTAGCTATCCAACCTCCCACAGAATGGTAGGCTCCAGGTTCAATGGGAGACACTGTCTCAAAAGATAATGTCAAGAACCCACATACAACATTGACTCCTGGCCTCTGCCTCAGCCAGCATGGCTGTGTTCATCTGCATACACACACATACACACACACACACACACACACACACACACACACACACACGATTAAAAAGTAGAAAAGGAGGCCTAAGTGTCCTTACTGTTTAGTCTCTAAGATTCTATGGGAAAGAAGATGTCATTGGCTAATAAAACAAACACCTTTCAAGCCCCCCACTGTGAACATGATGAAAGGAAAACACATGACTGTATTCATTAATTAGCGGCAGATATTTTACATATTGTATTTGTGTCACATGCTTTAATATGGAGAACATGGTGTTTACTTCAATACTCACATCCTATGTCTGTGCACTTACAGAGTCTTATTTGACATAAGGGGAAGTGAAATCAAGCGTGTAGGTTTGGTAGTGTGTGTTTCCATTTTACATGTCGTAGCTGATAAGGAAAAACTCACTTTGAGTTTCCAAAACCAACATGGAGTGTAGTTCGGAGGATTTTTGTTTCCCCTCCAGCTCTCAACCTTGTCTGCACTGAGTGTGGATGGGATCATGTGAGGTCAGTCTCAGAACAGCAGTGCAACTTCAGGGAATGGACAGTTACTTGTTTAGAATTTTTTTTTTAAGTTAAAAACACTGTGTCGAAAAAAATCCAGCAAAAATAATTGGTAATAAAAGCACAGCAATTCTAGACTCGGAAATCCCATGAAGTCATCTCACCCTCTTTTGCCAGCAAAGGGTCTTTTTAAAACATGTTCTCAGGACCCTTGCCAGCCTCAGCATCAGCTGCCCCAACCATGGGGTGTCCATCATTTCACTGGCAAAACCCCATCAAGTCCAGCAAGCTAATGGTCTTTGACCTGGATTTCTCAGTAAATATAATCCTAGCACTAGGATATACCATATTTGATTTCCGTTGAATTCAGCACTTAACAAATTTACTTTATTGGATCTTCTTGCATCTGGAGGCAGAACTTACATAGTAGTTTAAATTATTTTAATGCACACCATTTAAATCATCTTTCCTTCTTAAATCTTAATTTAACAAAACCAGACCTATCCAGTGAGCTGAAGGGGGCAAATGCTCCCAAAGGAGAGTCACAGACATGAGGGTCATGTTTTATTAAAGACCCAAATAGGGATTTTTAGTCCTGACAAAAAAATATCAACAAGAATGGCCTGTGCACGGACAGGGTCTCAGGGCTTCAGGGTACACCAATAATCTCTTGCATGTTTTTTTTTTCCATTCTACCAATTTAACACACAGCACATCCAACCGTGCCCAGTGCGGCATCATAAGGGGAAAAGTAGAGGCAGCAGTGCTCTGCAGCGTGTTTTCTGCCCTTCTTGAAGTCTGAGGGAAGTGTGGGACAGCTAGCAGGAAAGATGAGCTCATATTCAGCCTGGGAAAGCTGCAGCCTTGCCCTTCCTCCTGCTCTCCATGAAATGAGCCCCAAGCAGCATGAAATCCCTGACCGCAGGTGTGGATACGCGCTGTGACATAAATATCTTTGCTGCTTAGCAGTTGGAGGACGACTGTGGGAAGATTTGTCACAAGCTTCCCTAGCCAAGTGTGACTCTCTAAAGAAATGGTCAGTTAGGCTCCATGACTGCCAAGGCTCGAGTCCTGCTCCAACTCCCAAATAAAGGACTCAGAGCAGAGCTACAGGAAGGTATTGGTGAAGGCTCAGGAAGGGGTAACCTATGTGGTTGTAACAACAAATGCGTAGACGAAAGCTAAATGACGCGTATAGGACAAACCCATACCACTATACCACATAAGCTTTTATCTGAAATGCTTTCCAACAATAGCCAAAATTAGTAAGAAAATATGCACACACTCACTCATGCACGTGTGCACATACACAAACACACACACACACTTTAAAGCAATGAACAATGGAGGGAGAAGTCTGCATAAAAATTTCCAACTGCCCTCACAACGAATGGGACACATAAATTAATGTGATAAATATATTATATTTGTTTACTGATCCCCAAAACATACTTTATCTTATTTTATTGTGTTTTAGTTGTAACAACCAGCCTTACCTCAGAAGTGGACAGGCCATCCAATTTCAGTTCATTAAACTTTTTTTTTGTTTTTTGTTTGGTATCAGGTAGTTTTTCTTTCTTTATTCATTTCTGTATCATTTTGGTTATTGTTTAGTAACATAACCAGGATTCCATATTAGTTGTAATAAAATGAAAAGTTATTGTGCATTGAGGGGAGAGTATATTCCAAGCATGTTTACTGTTAGAACTGATATTTTTGCTCTGAAGTTTTCTTGTAAATGTTCTGGTTTCCATTTGTTCTATTTGTTTTTATTTGTTATTCCATGTGTTGTTTAATTTTAATTTTCCCCAAAATATTAAAGGCAGAATCCTCCAGCAATTATATAACTGCTACAAGTGTAAATAGATCTTTAACAAGAAAAAAATAATAATAAAGGGACAAATTGTCCCCCTCTAGCTTCATGTACTGAATTTCAATTCTCATGCTCTTTGATCTAAAAAGAAAAAAAATTATTCAGTACTCATTTTGCTGTTTCATTCACAAAGCTATAGTTTGATTTTGTTTCTCTGGAGCTTATAATCCAATTTGTATCTATTGTTCAGCCCAGTGGAGTGAATCTACATGGCAATCATATGTTACAAAGTTATAAAGTGAAACACATCTGAATTCTTTCAGATTTTATAAGACAGTGAGTTTTAATGTCAAAATACTTATCTTTCTTAATGAAGGTGAATTTTTGTTACCAATATTGAGTGGGGTTTCTATTGAATCTCTTCTGATCAATGATGAATAATAAAATTGATGTTTGAATTGAGTTGACTTATAGAAGAATCCTTTATGCTATTATTCTGATTCTCTTAAAGCACTTGAGCATGATACAGAAGCACTTCCCCTTACAGCTCTCCTCACATCTGAGTGTATTTTTAAAATATTGAATACAAATTAAGTTGTTTTAAAATTTAAATGAACAAGAAAAGAGAGAGTTTAATACATGTTTAAGTAAATTGCCAGTAGACAATAAAATTGCCTTCAATTTTACTTTAAGACAGAGTTACAGTAGATCAAAATAGGGGATAATAGTGTATGGCTAGGACAGGCTTTGCACTGCATCTCAGTACACACCACACAGTATCATTTATTTCATAGTCCTGACACTTAGCACAAAAGACTTAACTCCAGTTGTACCAAAGGTAAAGGACTGCAATTGCACTGGCCAGGAGCACTCCCTGCCTTTTCCTACTCCATCTACTTTGATGTTGTTTCATTGGCCTGAAAACTCACCAACTCCAAAGTTGAATTACATGTTCCTGTTAAAGTAATTAGTATTCTAGATCTACACCAACAAAAACTAAAATTCAGTTCCTGTAGCAATTAAAGTTCTCATCTCGATGACCCTTGGAGAACAACTTATGGAAACTGAAGGCAACAACTCTAACCCCCTCCCCTAACCCCCCAAATCATGGCATTTAATGATGCAATACTATCATTTAATTCATAGTCCACATTAAAATCCCCCACCAGTTTCTCCATATCTGAAGTAAATGATTGCAAAAGCCCATGATTAGCACTAAGGAGACTAAAGACAGGACAGTCCACCTAAGGAATTTAAGCAAGCATAGAAAAGTGCCTGCCTAGTTGGAAATTATTTAATGTGAAGAATAAAGTTTCACCCTGTTGGAGATATATTCATGCTGTGAAATAGCTTCTAGTTATCAGGACTTGGGTCTAGAATAAATTATGTGTTAGTATTATAGGAAGTATTGGTTATACTTGAACAAATAGAGGATAAGTACAGGATGAAGAACCTTAACCCATAAACATTTTGATAATAGTGAAATTTGCATTCATTTCTCTACATAGTCACAGGAAAAATTATTAGTCACAGGAGGATTATTAATGACATAAAATGGTCTATAAATAATATTGAACTTAGAAAGTTAGGATTATCATCGCCACTTGATCACTCACTAATTTAACAAGAGTGATCAAGTGTTTAGTTTTCAAACCTCAGTCTTTCTATATGAAAGATGAAGACAGTAATGAGCCTCTGTTGGTTTTTAAACAGATTGAAGCATTCCATGAAGTAGCCAGTACAAGTTATTTCTGTATTTGAATATTGAATAGTGCTATATGGAATTACCCGTGCATGTCTCAGCACTGCAGGCTTTCCATTTTAGAAAGCTAAATATTTCTTACAATTGCTGTGCATTTCTTCAGTATATAATTTTACCACTACCACCACCCCAAATTAATGGAAGATAAAAATGCATTAAGACAATTGCTTCACAACAAGCAGTGTTTTCACAAGAATAACGAATTCTCTTTGGCTCCTAGTCATACTGTAGTCAGTCAAATGAAAGAAAGTCAGAGGGCCATTTTCCTTATAAGGCAATTAGGCCAAATGAGGTTAGTTCATGCCTAGTTTGCCAAACATTACTGTCGTGATCAGGATTTGAGAGCGTATCTTTCACCCCAAAGACAGAAATACTCATAAATTTTTGAGACTATTTTGCTTTGGATGTGAGCAATCAATGCTCTGTGATATAGGCTTGTATTGGATTTCTGCCTGTAACTTCTTGGGTCTTTTGATGAAGTCACCTCTGCCATTATATCACGAAGAATTGTATCCATAGATAGTCTACAATCTGTCCTCCCTTCCGAAATTCAGCCAGATGGACTGTTAGTACATCTGTTCTAACTTAGGGAATCATTCCAGGGTCCGAATGACGCTGGCTGAGGTTTTGGCTCACCAGACAGAACTCTTGTTTGAGTAGTACCACCCATCTGTAATGAGTCCAGTCCTTCAAGTAAGCAGCACTCCCTGATGGTGGGAGTTTCTTTTATTTGCATCTCCTGAAAATTACCTTATAGTTACAAGGCAATAAAAGTGGTTCAGCAAACATCAGACCAAACAATAGGACTTCTCTTGTGGGTTAGCGATTAGTGGAGAGTGGAGGAGACCAAGAAAAGCAGGACAGAGTTTTCATCCTGTCCTAGGCACTGCTACACTATTGAAGAAGGACCCATTAGCCTTAGGGGGTCTTTGAGAGCTGTGGGCATGGCCTTTGATTTACCCTTGGGAGGAGGACATTATTAGAAAGTGTCTTTACATCTTTCTCAAGGTTGAGAAGGAATTTTTGAAGAGGGCAAGAATTGTGTTGCAATTTGTTAAAATTGCTAGTGATGATTATTTCTTCATAGCCATCAATGGCTGACACTTTATAGAGTATATAGATAACAATGGTCCCTCTAGTCAGACCTTGTTCAGCAGGTCTCAGGATTCGACAAGTGGTACTATCAGAGCTTGGCAAGCATGCAACACTGTTCTACAGCAGTCACATAGAACTCATATTGTCCTCACAATTTTTAAAAAAAATATAACAAAGAAATGATTTTCAATCTAAGGTATACGTTAATAGCATATGTGAGCTTTTTATATTGATTTATTTGGAACACTCTCTACATTACAGTTGTGATAACTAGAAACGGTTTCATGCTAATTCCTTTATGATGATTAACATATTATTAAACCTGGCTTCACAGTGAGTTTTGATTGGGAGCTTGTTAAGGACACCTTCAAGGTATCTCAGCTATTATTCTAGGATAGAGAATTTCTCCTTTTGTTTGTTTCTAAGATCCCATAAGAATGGCATTCACCTTTGACATTGTTGCACTGGAAACTGGAATGAGAATAGAATAAAATTAAGGGAATAGGGGGCTAAATATAAATATAAGATCATGTACATCTGTACCCCCATGGAGTTCTGGAGTTGGTCTGATGAGTATGAAAAGATAAATTAAAAGGAGATTTTTTTAAATTGTATATTGTCCAAGTTGAAAGTTTGTTAATTTCATCATGTCTTAAGATGGTTTATGCTTTTCTGCACTATTTTGTGATATGTTAGGGTAATATGCAATCAAAATGTTCCTGAAATCTTAACACATAAAAGATGGACATGGGACATGAAACGTCAAAACAGTAACTTTGTACATGGATAAAAACTTTAAGCCACACTCAACCCAGCCCCAATTCTTAATGACCCCCACCCTGTAAAAATTCTTTACAGAATAAAATTACACCTAACATCCTACTAGTGCTATTAGTTAATTCTTAATTCACCCACAATAATTCTAATTAATTAAAAATAAATACATGAAAGCTAAGAGTTAAACAACCCACCTGTAACTAAATAACGCTAACTTGAATATAAACGTAAAAAAAAAAAATGATAACTTAATGTGTACATTTCCACTTTATTTTCCAGAGAAACTTTTCTCCAAATGCATCCAAATAACTTTCAAGAAATGTGTGCATTTTCTTTGATGAGAATCACCTGGGGCTCTTAAGCCAAGAATACTTACTTCTAAGAGGCTCATGGGTATTGCCCATGTGGCTGCCTACTCCAGGGACCACTGGAAAGGCATTGGCATAACTAAAGAACCTATTGTTCTTTAGGATTGGAT